AATTGCTGAGATACTTGTAGGTGATGGTTGTTGAATCAGCGGAGCTAGGCTACCCAAATCGGGTTTACAACCTTAAGCATCCATCTATAATATAGCCAAGACAGTTAATGGATTTATGCTGAAAGTGGCAATTGGATGACCTTACAACCGCATTTGTATCACAAAAGCGTATAGATAACATTAGAAGACGTTCGATATGGGACTCAGTATTTTTGGCATGAACTACAATATAATCTTGATACGATTCAACACCATCACTACCGGCAATAATGTGATACAACCTTTTGGGATATTTCCGGCTAAAAACTTAATTCATTTGGTAGGAATTTGTACCTGAAGAGTTAAAATATAATCTTTGTCTTGAGGTTGGCAACCATGACCGGTAGAAACAGAGGTTGCTTAAGGAACGCCGACTAGAACAAATAATTCAAATCACTTAAACCTTGCCCTGGCGGTTGGAAGTTGTTCCCTTAGTAGAGTTGTGACTTTTAATGATAAGAGACGAACTTTTGGACTGTTGCATGACCAGTATCCCTTTCGAAGACCAGGACAATGATTATGGAATGTCCATACGTTCTGGGAGACCGGGAGAACTATTTAAGCCACTGAGAAAATGACAAATATAAGCTGGTAGTGCTTGAATAAGTTAAACACATTGCACGAACGCTAGAAAAAAACTTTAGCTTCGGGAGAGATGCTGTGATACCCCAACCATGTAGAGAGAAACGCCTCACATACACAAGAGTACGCGCTAATTCTACCCAAAGAAGCAGAAAATGGGCTGATAAGATTGGATCACCAAAGCTCCCTTGAAAACAGAGAAAGAGGAGATTGCAATAAATATCATTCAGTGCTGTGTGCTTATTAACGATAACAATGAAGACAATAAGGAGCAGATTTGTGGGAGACTTCAGCCAATCCCTGAGAAGTGCCCAACAGAGAATTTGACTATTCTTATAGGAGACCTAATCTTCAATGTTGGAATGGACAACGCTAGGTATGAAGACATTATGGGATGACGTGGACCAGAAGAATGAAATGAAAACGGTGAGAGATTCGTAATTCTTTGTGCTTCCAACAAAGTGATTATATACGGCACCAGATTCTCACGAATATACAATTATAAATGGGTTTCACCTAGTCGCAATATGGAGAACCGAATCGATTACATCTGTATCCTTAAAAATTTCGCTGTAAGTATTGTACTATATGGGATTTAAACTTATTAACCGTTGGCCACAAGACAAAAATCCAACCAAAAATTCAGACGAGCAAATCTCAAGGACTTAAAACAAGCTTGTCAACCAAGGAGAAATGTCAAAAGAAGAACGGTGAGGAAAGAAATCTGAGCCTAAGGCACACGAACCAAACATTCCACTAAGTCCACTTGTGTTCCTCCTTGGAACCTAAGCATACAGTTTATCAAAAGCGATTTCACTATTCTTGGAATTCTCGGCGATTAGATCTAATCACTCCATTAAATACCCTACAAATTTCTCAGAAGATGTTTGGGTGATTTAAACTAACAGCGACGAACTGATGATATTCTTTGAACTAAAAGCCTTACCTCAATCAAACTAGGCTTAGTGAAAATACTGTTTCCCCCCTTCTCGTGGATGTCACAAATCTCCAAAAATATACGAAACTTCAATATCAAAGTCTACCACAACTCATCAACAAAGGCTCAAGAATATATTTACAATTCAACGGCAAAATTTATGCACAGACTAGGGATCCCTAATATCGTTAATTATTGTAAACGCTGTGATACGGAAACTGACAGCTTTGATTTTATCGGTGATCATGCCAAAAATGTGGGTTCACTATATAGACGATACGTCCGACATCAAAAAAGACGAGCTGGCGAAAGCCCAAACTCTTATCGACAACGTCACTGATGATATAAGATTCACAGTGGAAAAGGATCGAAACAAAACATTGATTTATTGATCACTAGAACCAACAGGAAATAAAGAGAATCAAGCATATCGAAATCTAACGCAGGAAGATCTAATTTTCAACCACAGTAGCAAAATCCCAAGAACTCACAAAATCAACTGTGTACAAACTTTATTCAAAAGTGTGAAAAGCAGAATCAGGCAGTGGTAAAACGTCGGTTCCCCAAGCAATATTCCTGGAAAATAGGGAGAGAAGATTATGGTAGTGATAGGAAGAAACAAAAAACCTAGTCACAAATAAAAGTATGTAAACCTGGGATGCGGCATGAAAGCTTATGAGGTCGTTTAGCTAACAGTATCGAATGACTGGAAAATGGATCGTCTTTCGGTCTGAGGGGATTGGTTAATAGTCATTACAGTTACTAAGCTACACCGGATTTTTTCAATCAAACTGAATAACTTTTTAGACTTACTGATATGTGGAAAGGACTGTGGAAGTAGACCTAGCGAGTCACCTGGTACATATAGTTTTCTGCAGCTTCCCATAAACTTTTGTGAATGAGTTTGGTATTTTAAACTTCGTTAGGAGATGAGGTTCTTAAGGGACCGTAAATAATTGACTAGAAATCACTCGATTATTAAAAATATCACTTCTGATTACCAGGGTAGGTAAAGCAGAAGTACAGCTTTTACTAAAACTACAACATATGGTTACCGTAATGGGTAGTTTTGTTAGAGGTTTAGCTATATGGCAAATGAACTTAGCATGCAATCCTACTGGGTAAAATTGACTTCAACGAGGGTTTTAGATAGTGTTTAATCCTCAATTTTTGGGTTCACATGCTTTCTGAATCCCAGGTCAGTGAAATGCTTGCGTAGCAAAGGATGAAGTATGATTAAGAGCGGAGATCGCCAAACGTAAGCAGTATTATCTCTCATAGGATAAAAAGTTTGGTTACTAAACTGCTATTACGTCATTCACGTTTTACCCTTGAGATAATATACTTAGGTAGTGTCATAAGAGTAATTTCAGAGATGGTAGAGTTATAAGCATTGTTCACAAAAGTGTTAGAAGTATTTTAGGCAAATCTACTTACAGTTTTAGAAATAAATCACAGCTCGAAGTGTCAAACGCATCAACATATTCCTCATAGTTGACGAAAAACCATGGGGTTATGTTCAAGATATTATGATCAACTTACGTGAAATTTATTTTGTGTAATTCATCCACTTTCTAGCTTCCTAATCAATATTGGTCCACCAAAAACTGATTAAATCATCATGTCCATCATGCAGGTCAACGGAGGCAAAGTGGAGGGACCAGACAACATTCCAGAAGAGGCAATGAAAGCAGATTTAGCAGCAACTGCGAAATTATTCCACCTTCTATTCAAAAAGATTTCGGGTGAAGAACAAACTGGAAGGAAGGCACCCGATCAAGACATCGAAGAAAGGCGATTTCAACAAGTGTGAGAACTGCAGGTGCATCACTGTTTTCTACACAAAAAATCGTGCATGAAGGACAGCTAACCGACTCGATCCGAGTGAAGACCAGTGTCAAGCAAGGTTGCATACTCTCACTCTCTTTCTTATGGTCCACTAGATTATGAAGACGTCAACATCTGAAAGCAAGCATGGAATAAAGTGGACAGCTAAGATGCAGATGGACGATCTGGACCTCGCAGACGCAACGACAAATGAAAAGAAGTTGACAAGAATAGCATCAGCATTTGCATAAGTAGGTCTCAACATAGACAAGGGAAAAAGCAAGATACTCCTATTCAGAACAACATACAAAAACGAAATCACACTTGATGGAGAAGCTTTGAATGACGTGGAAACCTTTATATGTATGGTTAGCATCACTGATAAATAAGTGGGAGGCTAATGCAGATGTGAAGAAACGGATTGGTAAAGCAAAGGCAGCATTTCTACACTCAACATAACTATCAAGCAACACTAAAGTCAAAATTTCCAATACAAATGCCAAGACAGTTCTATTGTTTGAGGTGGAAACTTGGAGAACCACGAAGGCTATCACCTGAGAAATACAAGGGTTCATGGTTAGTCGTATACGTTAAACATTTCAGATCCGTAGGTCAGACACCATCACCAACAAACTACTGTGGGAGAGAACAAATCAGATTCCAGCAGAGGAGGAAGTCAGGAGGAAGCACTGCCGGTGGATAGGAAAATTACTTGGGACATGACTCAACTGCTTCACAAAATAAGCCCTAAATTGGAGCCCTCAAGGCCAAAGGAAAAGAGGAACACCAAGGAAAACCATGCGCTGAGTGTTAGAGACAAAAGCGAAGAAAAGGAATATCGTTTGGTTAAAACTAGGAATTAAAGTCCAGAACAGAGTTGGCTAGGGAATGACTGTCAGTGGCCTTTACTCGACTAGGGGTTACATTAGTGAGTGGGTAATTCATCCGGTTTGCCAGACGATGTTCTAATAGATTTTCATTGATAAGCACAGAAGATTTCAGAACTCGTTATCGAATCTTAAAAATATTTATTCTAAGTTGTGTTTTTGCATAAGGATGAGAGGGGGAGAATCTTAGAGTGTTTGTGATTAAACATCACTGAAGTCATAAACATTGTTAGTGCTAATTTGCTGATTCTATTTTCAAACAACTATGCAATCGAAATGTTTGTAGCTTCATATGAGTGATAATATTCCATGTCATGGGTAATTTCTTAAAATTCATCACAGTATTTCCCCTTTTCTCGAAGTTTTGACTTCATCGGAAGCATTTCCCGAAGGTTAGCGAAACTCACAATGAGTAAAATGGAGATATGATTTCGCATCCGCTCATAATATCGAAGCTCAGTGATGAGACTAACCACACTGAGCTAAGCCTCACGAGCAAGATACAAAAACAGGGAAACAAATTTGTTTGTGTTTGCTTGTTATGAAATATTGGGAAAGTTGAAAAGTCAACACTCTTACATTGACTAGGACTTTAAGGGATAATTATTGTTAGAAATTGAATTTCTTGGTTATATCCACTTAAAAGAGACACACAAGTCAACTGGCTAATCAGTCAGATCTATTTGTTTAAAGCGGTGTCGTTGGCGGTTTCCATCTTATCTCCATTGATGCCATCAGTAGAGATTTCTGATATGGTCGAAGAGTCCAAAGGACAACAGCAAATCGACAGTACAAATGGATTAAGTGAAAACTCCCCGGATGCCTTCTCACCTCTCAATTGCGACGATAAACCCACCAATGGGGCTGGTGATTCCGTGACAGACGAAAACGATGACGATAGCAGGTACCTTTAATGTTAGATTTCACTATCGATAGGAAACTTTTTGTCGGTGGTCTAAGCTGGGAGACAAATGAAAGTAAAGTGTCATGTGTGTTATTTATTATATCCTCAGATGACTTGAAGGAATACTTTTCTCGTTGGGGAAAAGTTACACAATGTATTATAAAGCTGGATAGATTCACCGGTAATTCAAGAGGATTTGGCTTTGTTACTTTGGAAAGCGAAGATTGTGTTTCAAAAGTATCGTCTGTTACTTGTGTGACTTTGTAGGTTCTCAGTGTCTCTGAGCATTGGTTAAAGAACAAAAAAATTGACCCCAAAAAAGCGAAACCTTCTCGAGAACCCCTAAAGAAGATTTTCGTTGGGGGTATTGATCCAGAAGTAACGGAAGACCAAATACGAGAATATTTCAGCAGTTATGGAAAGGTTAGCTTACATAGTTCAATAAATTTCTTTGCAGGTTGAGTCTTTAGATTTGCCGTATGATACTCAAAAGGGAAAGAGAAAACATTACATATTTGTCAGTTTTTCCACTGAAGCAGCTGCTAAAAAAGCTATTTCAAAAGAACGTCAAGAAATTTTCGGTCGACAGGTAAGTCGTCCACCAATAGACTGATAACATAATGTTCTGTTCTTAAAAAAAAACAAACTAAACGATGAATCATTTCTTTAGTGTGATGTCAGGGTCGCTGTTACACGTGATCAAGCTAACAGACAAAAAGGTTTGTCCAAACCTTTGGTTATTTTGTTTCAGTAGCCTTAAAACAATGGTATAGCTGGTTAGATCCCAGTTTCTCTTATCCAGGATATGCTTATGGTGACTTTGCGAACGCTTACCCTGGTTTTGATCCTTTTGCATACAACTATTATGGATATGATTATTATGGAAGTGCGGCAGCAGCTGCCGCTGCTACAGGATATGGTAAGTGTATTATGTAGTTGTAAAGTATGTCTTAATTTTTTCTGTGCTTAATTTGTCTCACATTCCCAATGTTCACACATTAAAATGGTTTCTATTAGTGGGTTATTTGATCTGTAGACTTTCTGTGTACTAGTGTATGATTAAGTAGTTCACTACCACTGCATTTGGAAGATCTCAGATGTAATAGAATCATGGTTACAATGTTTAGTCAGAGTTAATTGACACACACATACAGTGTAAGTAGGTACCTTTAGTTCTTATCAGACTTCATGATACGGATTGCGTAGGGTAGTTTTGATGTTTTAAATTAATCAAGCGATCAAAACGCCTGAATATTTCTTACGATACTTACTTCGACCCCGGACGATCGATAATGTGGTTGTAAATTAGAGGGAATCTTAGTGAGTACGAGTGACTGACTGACTACTTGTATTGGTTACATAGTTCAGAGTCGTTCACAGTGGCATGGATGCATGTCTGATCTTCCCCAAAGTTCTAAGTTTCACTCCACCAATCTGTATGTTGTATCATATCTCCAATCCTGAGTTGTGTAATCGCCACTTGAATTAATCAATTACTATGGGGTATCTTAACCATAATGAAGTGTGGCAACTTATACCGATGTCCCCATGTGCTAGGTTTTACGTTGCGTACGATTATCCCATTAAGACGTCAGCACTTCGATATTGGCTATGGTTCTTGCATATAGTGTTTTCATTTTAAGCGACCAGCCTTTGCCACCTCTTACTGGTAAAAGATGCCGTCTACTTTCTGCTACAACCTCGCTCAGTGTCTGAAGTATTTCAGAATTTATCTAAATCGTGAACTAGAATTAAATCCTCCCTAAGCGGTTAGAAGTGTATCACTTTGTGCCGTTAGACTTAAAATGCAGCATCATTAGTTTACGTCTGTGTGCTGATGCGGTATAGCAACCTAAACTGGTGTGCGTACATACGAGGTTCTACGTTGTAACAGACAGACTGACTGAATAGGTTCAAAAAATAACATATATTCATAAAAATGTCTAGATGCGTAGCAAATTGTTGTAAATTTGTAAGTTGTCAATTCACAAAACTTCTACGTTCGTTAATATTTGATGTTAATAACCGCTAGTATCATGTCAACCAATAGTTTCACTGTTTAGGTTTACAGATGATGCCTTAGGGCAAACTATTACTTCATTCTTTTTGATCGATATTCAAGTGAATAAGTGTGTCCTGTTAAGTTACATTATGGGTATCGCTTTTTTGTTTGTTTGGCGAATTGGTGGCCTAAATTTGTTATAGTACAAAGTAAGCCCTAACACGGTTCTCCCGAAATCACCTTAAAGAAATCTTTACATTGGGTCGCTCAGCTGATTAATATTATTAAGGGTTGTCGCATTAGTCGGTAAGATTAATTTATGTTTTAGGTTTTATCAGTCCATGTATATGTACTGATGAAACGTTAACCAGTCGCGTACATTGTGCATGCTTCATAGCATATGCTATTAGGACTGTATTTACAAAATGAAGCAAGGTATTTTTTCAGGAATCTTCATAGTTATTGTGACGAGATCTACACAATGAAATATCTGTTAGTTGGACCTGCTCACTATCTATTTTAAGGATAGTCTTGTAAGAATTCGTAGAGATTGTAAAATGTCAGTATTTATATCGTACCGGTTTTTACACACTCGCTTTTCTAAAGTTTTTATCAAATTCAACTCTTTTGCACTGCCTCCTTAATTCTCGTATTGCTACAAAGCACTGCATTCTTCAGCAAATTGAATCTTAAAGTAGTTCATAGCCTCTATGACACCTCTGCCAATCATAAATTCATGAAATCTTGTTTCTGTCGTAATGTGTGTAGTTCAAATCAGAAATGAATTATCAAGGGTAGAGAAGAATGTAAGTAATAAAACGCTCATGCGAGTTAAGATCGCATTTTTATTACCAAGTAGAGTGGAATTGAATACATTTTTACTGATCACTATTTAGTACGTTTAATGTAACATACTGTTGATAATATTTGGACATACTTATTTATATTTTTGTTTGTACTTGGCTCTACATTATGTAAAGCTTGAGACAGACAGACAGATGCTATACCTACACCAGCGAGACCCCGGGAAGCAGCATCAGGGCAACCGGATACACGAAGAGTAAATCGGGTTGCTTCTTTGTTTTGACAAGGCGAAATCAGATTAGTGACTTTACTAGGGTCCTGTATGCGCGTTACGGAGACAGCATACATCGATTGAGCGAGATTCTAATGTTCTAGCTAATGAAGCCTGTTGCCCTATTTGACATAATGTACGTACATTAAATGCGCCAACATGTAGTCTAGAACGGGGTTTCAGGAAACCAGAAATGACGTTTCGTGAACTCGCATCGTTTGCATTAGCTGTGCAGTGTGATAAAAGATTGCGAGAGGAGTTAGTCGTGGAGATAAGAGAGGTATGTGTGGGTGTAGGAAGGATTTGATTTTGACCAATTTGGTCTCGTGTGCTGTTACGGGTATGAGGGCGGTTGTCATTTCCCGGCTGCCCACACCGTGGAAGGTTGCTTCTACAGAAACCTGAAAAGGAAGATAGATTAGTGTTGGTCTCAGAGACCTGGATGCGTGACCGCAGAGCCCAAGGGACAACTGCTTGAGGCCCTTAGTGGGCACCCTTACCGACAGAGACGGAAATCTGTGAGGTAGGGTGAGGTATAACAGTTCTAGGGTCGACCTTTTCTAACCCTTCCTTCCTTGTGAGAAGGCAGCATCGCTGCAGATGCTGGTTGTCCGAGGGGAACGCCCTACTGCTGTCACACCCCTCTGCAGTCAGCAGCACGACTTCGCCCTCAGACCTTGAGTAGCTGCTTTTAGTCTCATCGTTCTCCAATCGACCTGCCTGGCATGGTAGGACCTGCAGGAACATATTTTCCAGCCAGTATAGCTCGGTTGGGTGATCACGATAGGCAAGTCCGACCACCACGTCAAAGTAGCAGCCACTGTCGGGTAAAGCTTAAGAGTTAACTGAGTCTTATTAATTGCATGTTAGTAGGACAAAACATTGCAACTTAGGAGTTCCTGGCTACCTTTATGCCAGATGAAATTATTTTTGAAAAAAGTGCTACATTTTGTTATTGTCTTTTCTTTTTTTTTTAGGAGCATATACCAATCTAGCTGCTGCTAATCAATTTCGTGGAGTAATCAATCCTAACAAAGTAAATCAAAGTATACGTACTCCTACTGCTACAGCGCCCGGAGCTGCAGCACGTATAATCGGTGGTGGTGGTGGTGGTGGTGGTACAACTGGAACCATGGGTACCAACCCTCATCAAACTCAATCTCATACACATTTAAACTACACAAATCTACTCGCATCCCAACTAGATCCACATCATAAGGCGATGTCCGCTGGTTTAGATTTCACTGTAGCACATGCTCAACCTGGTCAAGGCATGGTTGCTGGAGCAGGTGCTACTGGTTTTCCTCATCCTCAGTGAAAAACAAAATCCAAGTGAACTCAGTGCAAAAGTTTTGTTTAATTGAAGTTTTATTTTGAAAGACTCCTATCTTTGATTTGTATTCCAATGATTTATACAAATCGGTATCTATGCTGAGCTTCTGTGAATATATATATATAAATATGCCTATTTTGTGAGTGGTAAGCAGTAACAACAGCTCCCCCTTCCCTGCCCCGCCCCAGCCCTACAAATTGGATTAGCTCATATCCGTTACATTCATTGTGCCTAGTCTGCTAAAGTAAGTACGACTTTTAACAACTTATTGCTCAATAAACTAACATCTTGAATGCGTTTATTTTTTTTCCTTTCGGTTTTTACTGGTTTTGTTTTGTGTTTTTTCCCAAGGTCAATTCGACCAATGTGTGTGTGTGTATGTATATTTCTATGGTTTGCGCGCGCGTGTGTGTGTGCAGTATATGAAGGCAAAAAAAGGCACTTGTTTATAAGTTTACTTTAATTGTATTCCAAATAATCTCCTTTATCTCTTAGCTAGCTTAATTTTTTTGGGTGTCTGTTTTTTAATCCGAGTATTTTGTTTTTGAGAACAATTTTGAACAGGCAAATATATACATATATATAAATAAGTGTGTATATTTGTGTGTATTTGTGTACATAAAGAGACACCACCCCCACCCTAACCAAATGTATTCTTGTTGCTGTTCAGTTTTTCTTTTTTTTACTGCAATAAGAAGTTTTAGAAATCCTCCCTCTCTCTCTCCCTCTCTCCGTTTTGTTCTCCTTGTATTCTTCTTCAACTCTTGTACACATGGTTTCTCCTTGATATATATATTTCTTTGTTTTGTGAAAGTTTTCGAATGTGTTTTTTTCATATTTGATTTCTTCTATCTAACTAACTAACTTTAGAATGTTGGCGGTTAATTTGCACATATATACATATATATGATCTGTATATTTCTTACATTGATACTATATAGGCAACATATATATATATATATAATCTTGGTCACAAACTTGTGGATAAAATGTGAAAGTGTTAACATCTGTTTTTATAAGTTTTTTTTATATATATATGTATACCTATATATTAATGCTTCTTAAATTCCCGGTACGATTGGAACTGATGACTTGACATTTTCGATAGACTGCCTAATATCTTGTGAGAATGTACACAGAAGTATTCTCTTCATTCTTTGTGTATTTTGTGATTGATGTATTTATTGAACTTAATGATGATGATGTTGCTGTGAGTTAACTACTATTGGCTATTTTTATTTGTATACACTTACTCACTCACTCACCGAATGTGCTTACTTCCGTTGAAAAAAAATATCCGTGATACACATTTATAGTCGTTCTTTATATTATTATTATTATTATTGTATGAAGACTTGAACAAGTGCGTGAAATAATTCATATTGTTGATTTGTTCCGTTTGGTGTAGTTTTTTTTCAACCATTGCCAGAGCTATTAAACTTGTTTTTGTAGATAACGTCAGTCAGTCAGTCAGTTGCAACGTAAGAATTTCGTACGTATGTACATCAGTTCAGGTTGCCATACCACATTAGCACAGAGATGCAAATGTCACATCAAGTCCCACAGTGATAAAGATAGAAGAGGTAATAATGGTAATGAAGAAGACTAGGGTTGGAAGATATTATTCAAGAAGTATAATTCAATGAGATAAATTTGAGAAGAGAAAGATAGAAGTGCTGACGAATCTAGAAGATTAGGATTTGAGAGAACACAGAGAATAAATGCACCGGCGCCATTGCGAACGGTTTCGAGCCATGTCATTCATGACGCAGTCCACTTGTCAGTGACTTCATGCATTTCTGCCATGTTTTGGTCTGGCCGCCCCTAACTTTCTTCCAACCTACTCCTACACTGCAAAACATAGTTAGTCGCGGCAGTCGGTGGTTAGGCATTCGTAACACATGTCCCAACCACCTCAACTGATGAAATTTCACCACTTCATCTATTCATTTGCCATCCTTACCTAGAACTCGTTTCCTAACGACAGCATTGCTTACTCGGTTGTCCCACGATATACAAGCAATGCTTCTTAAACATCTATGATCGAATACTAGTAACCTACGAACATCTACTCTTAACGGTCATGTTTGTAAATAACGTATAAGTCAGTGATGAGTTTATAAAAATCTGCTATTCCTCCATGGATTAGCAAAACTCTAAATCTAAAATATAGGCATTTGAGCTTTTGGTTTAGCTTGAAAGTTGTGTCATTCGTGATGTCTAAATGTCTTAAATTTTGTATATCATCAGTGATTACACTTAGGAGTGTGCTCACTTTTACCTGCAATGACTTTTATGTTATCTTCACAAAAAACACTATTTATTAAATGAAATGTCTAGGTTGGGGTCGCACATGAGAGTTTATATGCATGTAGAAACTGTTTGGTAGTTTGCGCAAATCATAGCTTGACTTCATGGTATCCCTTCGTTATATGAAGGTAGAAATGACTGTACAGTAAGATTTTCAAGAAATTCACTAAAATTCGTATGCTGTAAATGTGTTCTGTTCCGACTTCCTCAGTCCAGTCAGCTACAACGTAGAACTTGGTACGTACGTACCACTATGCCATACATACCACAATAACACAGAGAGGTGGAGTTATCATTTTGAATCCCATAGTAGTAGAGGTTGTAGCAGCAGTAATGGAGATTAGGGTTTGAATACATGAATCAAGAAGTATAATCAAATTAGGTAAGTTTTAAAAAGGAAAGAAAAAAGGTCAAGAAGAATTCAGATTAGAATTTGAGAGAACACGTCATTTAAAGTCCTTAACAATCAGTTAATATAGTCTCAAGGATTCCAACTAGGTAGTTTACGCCCACTAACATGATGCAGTCCGATTGTCATTGACTTCATGGATTTGTGTTGTGTTTTGGTTTGGCTGTCTCTAACTTCGCTCGACAAGGGAGTCGGTGGCTGGGACATTTGTTACTCATGCCCAACCATCTCAACTGATGAAGATTCACTGCTTCATCAGTTGGCTTACCATCCTTACCGACTATCTTTTTGCTAACACCAGCAATGCTTACTCGATGGTCCCCGGATGTACGAGCAATGCTTCGAAGATACCCATGATCGAATACAAGTAACCTTTGAAAATCCCCTATTCTTAGTGACTATGTTTCACTCTTGTATAGTAAGTAGAATGGAGCGAAATGTTGCTCAATAAACTCGTCTTTTGGTTAATAGATGATTATTTCACTTGCATTTTAATTGATGCAATTTGTCAAAATCCAGTTGAGCTTTTTGTATCTGCGCTAAGATATTGTCAGACACACCATGCCATCATCACTGATGAAGCTCCCGAGATAAGTGAAGCAATCGACATGTTCAACTGCTGTACTCCGTATCACTGTTTCAGGTGCCAACGCAAGCCATTCTTGAAGTCCCAAAGTTTTGTAACATAAGGATTCACAAATCATATTGGTATTGTTTAGGGAATATCACCTCTTCTGATCTAAAATTTTTACTCGTAATTTATCTTGGAACATTTTATTCTAACTTTTACATCAACTTTTCGTTTGTAGTTTATGAAGTAAGTTGTCACTTGTAAGTTTCTGTGATGGAGTACCTGATCTGAAAACAAATAATTTAAGACCTAGTTAGATGCTTTAGTAGAACTGGTAAGGAAGGCAGACAGGACAGAGTAGTTTGGAGAAGGTTGGTCGGTGGCCTACGCACCATTAGGCGTAAGTAAGTAGAATGTACTGGTAGCAATGGGATTTAATAAACTATAAGTTCTCTGGGATTTCCTGTCCTTTGTACTCTGTTCCAGTATCAGATAGGTCGGGTTAGTGGTCCAAGTTATTGAATAATCACCTCAATTAAAGCTGAATACTTAAACGTAATCTTTCTACTATGACATCATATATTCGTAGTGAAGGAGAACACAGGTGGGGCAACCGAATTGTATTTAACGAAAGTTACACAGTTACTCAGTAAAATCGGAACAGCATATCGTAAATGGTTAATTTGCAAAATATCAGTCCATCATATCGAACCGGACTGTTCCTGTTGCAAAACATCAATCCATTGTCACTATTCATGCGTTTCATACACAAATTCCATTGTTTTCTAACTCTTCCTTTCTTGATCTTCCCCCATATTCTGCTGCCAGATATTACGTTGACACTCACGTCATATACTACTTATAAGTAGCTCGCACCACACTCGTCCCCCCTTTTAGTAAGCTGTCGTCACTTTTAAAACAGGGACTGGTCAGTTAATATCACCTTCCATATTCCGTGACGCGCTACAATATGCCGGATTACCACTTCGGTCATTGTTCTTGCCCGCTGGTCTGGAATGGGTACGGCATCTACCCAACGTGTAGCGTTTACTAGTTCCCGCTGCTGTGACACGGCGGCAGGCACACTCTAGGTAAATTGCGACGCCAACAACTGTACCCCCGACTCCCCATCCATACTCGGCAGCGTACGGCGCAGCAACATCGTGAGCTCCACAGCCAGCACCAACGAGTCACCATCAGCCTCGCCAACCGGAACCTCTGCGGCGCTTCCTCCCTGTCCACTGGGCTGTCGAACTCCGTCATCAGCCGCCAGGTGACCGTCTTCCCGGCGTCACCGTCCAGGCTGTCGTATATCGCCTTCGCCTCACCTCCCCGCAGCGTCGCCAACTCCGCCCCGGGCCCCTTCAAACCCACCAGCTCCACCGCGGCCTCAAACTCCTCCAGGAAGCTCCGTCCTCCAATTCCTTCGGCCATGGGAGCTCCTTCCTTCGGACAGGCAGCGACACCAAATGTAGTGAACGAGAACACAGGTGGGGCAACCGAATTGTATTTAACGAAAATTACAGAGTTACTCAGTAAAATAGGAAAACCATATCGTAAATCGTTAATTCGCAAAATATCA